CCATTTTCAAAATCTCTTCCATTTCCTCACTTTTCAAACCGTTAATGTAACCCGTCCCTCGGTAGTCCATCAACGACAAGAGAGAAGGATTGGCTACTGTCCCTGACCCTTGGTAACCCCGCGGCGTCATTTGGGGACAGATAGCTCAATCATGCTAGGGCGATCTCCCTAATTCCCTCTAGGCTACATTAACGCCACGGACTCTCGGTACCCCCTTGGCTTCCGGGTTTTTCACAAAACCATTTAATTTCAAAATCCTTTCCCAAAATTATTTTCCATTACTTTATAAAACAACTTTTTTCCCATTTTATGCCCAATGATAAATGCATGAAATGTCACATGTTATCCAATGTCAATATATAATTATACACATTTCATTAACATTATGCTCGCAAGTTTATAATAAATTCTCACACCAAGTCATATTCTCATTCTCATCAAATATAACTTTATAAATAAATGCAGCATAAAAATAATTCAACTAAACATTTATATTTCATTACAATTCATTTAAATATACACCTAATCACATACAACACATAAAAAAAAATACCTCATCAAGCTTCATTTGCATATAGATTTCAAATAACCATAATAATATTCATAATTTAGTGAACAATTCAACAATTTATATAAAGAAAATTCACAAAGGGTAAAGAAATTGTAACTTAGAAACCCATACGTCATTTAGATGCAAAAACCCCCACATGGGTCCAAAAATTTGAAATCCCTAGAGTTGGTCAAACAAGGAAATGCTCCGATCAAAATGTAGATCTTGACGAGCTCTTCAATTTGCCGCAAACGATACCAACAAACTCGAAAAGATGAGGGAGAAATCAAAATTTGAATATCTGCTTGAAAAAAAAAAAAAAAAAAAAAAAAAAGGGGAAATGAGAGAGAAAACAGCGTGAGGGAGTGAGGGAATGAGAAAAATAAGGCCTACCAAATGGCCTTATGCCATTAAAACTGTGAAATGGGTGGTGAGCCCCACCAATTTTTTCTTTTTAAAATTTTCTTTTTAACTTTATTTTTACACCACAATTATATATATGCACATACACCATGCCACATCCACATAAAACATAATAAATAAAAATGAATGAGATACAATTGGACCTAAACAAAACCCCCGTACGTAACAATTTTGGTAATGGGTTCCACTCGGGATCGTCTGGCCCGAAAAACAAAAAAAATGCCGAAATGAAAACTCTTACATTTCAAAGAGTCCTGAACTAAATAAAATACCTCAACCAGCTCTTGGACACACCCGGCACATCCTGTGTTCGGTACACACAATGAGATTTATTTACTTAAGAAGCATGAAATTGTTTTGTCATGCATGATGGATACTTGATATATGAGTAACATGAATACTTTGTAATGTGGGGGTAAGTATAGCTTCTTAAAGTTACAAGATTTATCGTACTTGTAAAACATTGAAGGTCTGATTATTTATGTGAAATACTAGAACTTTAACTTAGAGCATGCAAATTGCAAAGCTTAAGAATGCTTGTGCAAATTTACGAGACGATAAAAAAAAAATTGAAACGGAATGCCTCTTGGACTTCTAAGAAAAAAAAGTATAATATTGAAAAGGAATATCTCTTGGACTTCTAAGAAAGAGAAGTATATGTTACATTATTTGAGTTACTAGCAATGGTCTACAAAGAAGATTGAATGGCTGAGAATTATGATTAAAAAATAATAATAAAGTTATGGCCACAGCTGAAGCCATCTATATTCTTTGTTTATGCTGGTTCTATTTAAAATATAATGAAATGTCTAGACATATTGGCTTGACAAATAAGTATGTCAATCGGTTACATTAAAGAATATATTTCGTAAGTCATGACTTGGTAGATTTTAATAATATCAAAATCTAGTGAAATATTTACATCTAGTGGAATGAGGGCTAAAACCTTTTTCTTGAAATCACCAGTAATGGTAACCCGACTTTGTATTAGAATACCACTAGTTCAAAGTTTAATGGGTAATAACAAGTTACTGATAAGTGATTGTACATGCACTGAAAAATAATTGTACAATGCCCCTTCTAGGATGTTCAGTGCGTACTGCTACGTTTTTTGAGGATGAGTAGTATACTCTTAAACAAGTTCAAACTAATGTGAAGTGTCTAAAGTAGTAGGGACACATATTAGAACTTCTCCTATATGAACATAAGAAGTGGTGCCGCTTTTAGCAAGGATTATTTGGGTTTACTCTTATAAATGTTTATGAAACCAGGATAAGCACATGGCCATAATAGTGCTAAATAAATTATAAACATCTCAGAGAAACTGGATATGATTACGCGTGTGGTATTTTTGGTTTTAACATTAAGAAGAATTGGTTTAAGCTGCGGCCACCGCTGTTCTTCGTTAAAACTTTAAAGTACTTACACTAATTGAAGGTTTAAATCGAGAGATACCTTCTTGTATACCTGATGATATTACTATAATTTTGACTAGTAGTTATATATTACAATATAGTGGGGGATTGTTGAATATATTGTGATATATATATGGATGAATATTTGGAGTGGAGAAGGGCAGTTAAGTGAATGTACCAAAAGTCACGTCTCTTGAGTTTGTACCAAAAGTTATGCCTGTTGGATTTCTACGAAAAGATATAACTTTTGAATTGGAACTAAAAATCACAACCTTTACACCAAGAGTCATGTCTGTTGTATACACCCCTATGTACTTTATAAATAGGGGTAGGTAATTCAGATTTGATATAAGAATATAATCCTTAATATATTCTCTCCTACTCTAGATTCAGTCATTCTTACAACAGTTTCAACAAAGTGTTTAAGGGAATTATTCTGTATTGCTAACGGCGGATTCCGGCTTTATTGCATCCTGGAGGTGTTTTGCTATGAAACCCGATAGCAAACTCAATTAAAGTGGGGGCAAATAACACCTTAAGAAAAGTGACTATACGCCTCAAAGCCATAAATCATTCTTCATTCTTTAATCTTATGTATTTGACTCAACAATTGTTGATCCACCACTTGAGCACAACACACGACTTAATCTACATGATGGCACACTCTTTGAGATGGTACATTATATCGACAATTGGTTGATAGTACTGTAGTTTAGCTCACCGTCACCTGTCCAGACATCTCTCGTGTCATCCACATATTTAGTCAGTTCATGGTTGCTCCCAGATTTACTCATTTTACTACTGTCCTTCGCATCCTTCGCTATCTTAAAGGCACTATTTTTATGGGCTTTACTTTTTTTATCAGTCGTCACTTATCCTTCGTGCCTATTTAGATGCCGATTGGGCAGGTGATCCTACAAATCGTCGTTCCACCACAAGCTATTGTTTTTTTCTTGTGATTCACTTATCTCTTGGCACAGCAAGAAACAAACTGTAGTTGCTTGATCTAGCACAAAAACTGAATACATGGCATTTACTGATACTACATCTGAGCTTTTGTGGTTCGTTGGCTCCTTCAGGACATAGGAATTTCTTCATCCATTGCCACTCCTATTTATTGTGATAATAGGGGTGCAATTCAAATTGCGCACAATGATATTTTTCACGAGCGTACCAAACACATTGAGATCGATTGCCATTTTGTTCGTCATCATCTTCTTCAGAATACCTTATAGTTGCGGTCCATTACTTCTTATGATTAGATAGCAAATGTCTTCACCAAATCGCTTCCGTCAAGCCGCTTCAAGGATCTTGTTTCCAAACCCAAGATAACTTCATGTAACCCAGCTTGAGTTTGAGGGGGGCTGTTAGAATATATTGTTAGACTGTATTATACCTACTAGGTTTAGGTTATCATATTATTTGTTACCATACACATATAGGGTTTACTTGTTCAACATGCATAACCCCTCCTAAAACCCCTCTTGTATTCATTAATCTTACACATCAATACAATATATAATTTCTCTCCCTCTTTATTTCTAACAATGCCAAATGTCAAGTAGGCCTTTGACACATCGATTAGATGAGTTCTTCATGCCAAAGTTACCTGTTGAATGAGCAACTTAAGTTTGACATATCAGTTGAAAATGCTCTTAGGTATCTAAGACCATCATTTCTACGTGCCTAGGTACAATGCATGGACTGGGCATACGAAGAACCTTTGGGTAATAGAGCTACTTAGGACTATAAAATATAAATACCAACCTTAAAGAAAGCCTTAAAGGAATAGACCAGAAGGCATTAGCAAACTCACATTTACACACTCGTCACAAATACAAACATCCTACATTCACCAATATTCTCAACGGTCCTCGTTCATCCAAAGCTTATTTCTAGGTCCCTCATATTGTGTAATTGATATCACCTTTTTATTTATATTCTACATCGTCGCGAGAACGAATCCTTATTGCGTCAGCTTGTATTAGATTGTTCTTAGTTGTGAAAACATAACGGTTAGTAGAACATGGGAATGCAACGGCTAATTGCATGTATTAACTTTTGTTGGGCCTGGGCCTTTTGATCACTTTTGGGCTTCCTGTTCTTAGCCTAGAAATAGCTTTGTAATGCCTATTGGGCTTGTTTGGCCCCTTTTGCTCATGGACCAATACACATACTGTACATACACTTGTATCAAATTGCTTGAAAAAAAAAAAAAAAGAAAAAAAAAAAAAGAAGAAAAAAGAAAAGAGTCAAGACATTCTAACTAATGGTTATTAGGCTAATTGTATGATTACTGTGTTTGAGCCTATTACGGAAATACTGTAGTATGTGCGTTTGCTTGAACTTTAACGAAATGGAAAGAAATACCTTTAAAACTTGAAGACATAATGCACTTAAACAAAACAAGTACTAAGAACAGTTGAACAACACTTCTCATTCTTTATTTCTACAAAGTACATAAAATCATCAGCAAATAGAGCAATTCATACTACCTCCCTCACACCCAAACAGGAATGATCCAAACAATTTTATTCGTGGATGGCTACAATTTATTTATACTTAAAAACTCAATGCATCAGTGGGAAAAAGGAGGAACACCAGAAGGTTAATCATTCATGAGCAACTACAACTAATTGTTTTCCGACGTTGCGGCCACTAAAAAGTCCTACAAAAGCTGCAGGACCATTCTCAAGGCCTTCAACAATGTCTTCCACATATGTTATCTTCCCTTCTCTAATACAAGGCAGAACAATATCCAAGAACTTGGAATATTGGGGATAGTAATCGTACACTACAAATCCTTCCATACGCACTTGCATGTAGATGAGGCACATCAAATTTTTTACTCCTTCGGGTTTATCAACATTGTATTGTGAAGTCTGTCCGCAAACAACAATCCTGCCATGCTTCCTCATGTTGAGGAGCGCCGCATCCAACATTTCCCCCCCAACATTGTCAAAGTAAATGTCAATACCTTCAGGACTGTACCTGGCAACAGAACAATAATGTAGTCATCCCATTTAGTGTTTGAAGCAATTTTGCTACGTCGACAATAACATCCACTTATATACAGATGCAACCAAATCACTTCTATATGTCATATTATCGCGGTGGCCTTAGTGGGATGCCTTTAAATGTAATGTACGGGAATATGTCTTACATAATCTTGCATTCAATTTTGCTTATCCATCCGATGATATACCTTTCTCCTGCCACGACAATATGGATGCGTAGTCAAAGCTAAAGAACAAGAGAGTTTGAGAGGAAATAGTTGGGGTGCTCTCTCAAAGACCAGGGAGGTTCATTTATACTGGATTATTTATTTATTTATCTATAAAGATTGCCTTCTGATTTAGTAAACCGTTGAACCATGTAACACTCATCTATTTTCTTCTTCTTCTCTTTTCTTTCTTGTTTCATTTTCTGCATTAATTAATTGGTTTCGTGTATTATGCATGCTGTAAACCAAATTCTCAATGCTATATATTTTGATATGACAACCTTAAATCTTTAAAGCATGAGTAACTCACAAACCATGCAACCAATGCACTTGAGTTTTGAAGCATTATTTTGGGCTTGAATAAGCAAAATAAAGGTACTGACCTTTTCAGAGCTGCATCCAAGTCATGCTCTTCCTTGTAATTGAAATACTCATCAAACCCAAACTTGTTCTTCAACAAATCAACCTTATTCAAAATAAAAGCTAAAATGTTAGGTATTCTTGAGGATTGAATCATCTAACTGCAATTTTTTTGCCCAAAAAGAATAAATAAAAAAATCAGAGCAAATTGGTAAAGCTAAAAACATCTGTATTGGGATATTCCATTCCGTAAGAATTTTGCCAATCTAGTTTCTATTATTATATTATAGGGATGTAGCAGTTATTTGAAATTTATCCTGTGGATCATTCGTTGCACAGAGACAAGTTGGTAATTCTCCTACCTCTACCCTATACTGTCTCCCCTCTCTGAATTTTACTCCAGTACATATTTGTGAATTGAATCTCAAATTCTATCATTTTAAATTATCAATTCAAACAAAACCTTAATATTTTCACTGAATGAGATAGGCACATTATTTGGAGTCCATGAAGAGTTCAACCATGCAGTGGGAAGAGAAATACATAATTATTTAATATTGATTTATATGCGGTTTTGAATTATGCATTGAGAAATGTCAAAAACCAATGGCAAAGACATTCAAGCAAGAAATAAAATCATTGCAGGGAAAACAGTTCAATGACAATTTAGAATGTGTAAAATAAAAGAATAAAATAGAGATGGTTTTGCAACTGATCTCATATGGAATTAAAATTTAGTTTTAAATTTTGAATGAATATATAATATGCATGACAGGATGACGATGCCCACAATTAACGAGTATTGTCAATGAAGAACTGAAGCATTACCTTGCAGATATCCAACAAAGCATCCACCAACCAAGAAATGGCTACTGAAAAAAATGAAATGCTTCAGAGAAAAGACTCACCTTTCCTTTACTTCCAGCACTTCCAACAACATAGCACCCCATCAACTTCGCAAACTGCCCAACAAGCTGACCAACTACACCAGATGCTGTAGAGACAAATACATATTCTCCTTTCTTAGGAGTACCAATCTCATAAAAACCAACATAAGCAGTCATTCCATGCATGCCTAATAAGAAACAAATGCACAAAAATTAGATGGAGCATTAGAAATATTAATGACATAACTATAAGAAAGATGTATCTTATTCTGATACTCTGTGATGTTGGCATATTTATCATTAACCAAAAACTTAGCTCTAGAGGTATGCTGGGTACATATGGGTAGGTATGCAGCACTACCAATAGTTTAAGTTTTTTGGTCAACGGGCAAGCACTCGACCCGTTACATTTGGTCTCATAGCCAGACCTAGTCCTTGATCCGAGTCTAGGAGGTGTCCGGTATAGGTAGGCAGGGTGGCTCAAATGCAAAAAGGGTGTCGCAAGTTTGGGTGAGGGAGAATGTTAGAGATTCTTGTCTCATATCGAATCCGGATGGGGAAGAGTATTGGGTATATATGGGTGGACTAATTTACCAATAGAAAAATAACCTATCCCCCAACTTCACTCTATTCAAAGGCCTAGTATGCAACAGAAGTCAACAATTCAACAAATTAACTATGTCAAACTGCACTTAAACAAGATCTGCATCTATATCAGCTATAACTAGGAAAAAATCATCAAATGAGAAATTCTAATTTTGCAGATATATAAATTTTAATGACAACATGCTAGATACTTTACCCAGAACTCCTGCATAGTATGAAAGAGGTACATCAGTATGTTCAATTTTGAAAATGGAATCAGGTGCAGTGATGAGACTGTACTCTTCCCATCCAGTTATCCCCCAAACCAAGTCACCCTTCTTGAAGTTGGGGTGTCCTGAATCCAAAACTTTTGCTACTCCTTCCCCAGTTATCACCTGAAATAATTTCACCATGAAAATTCATATATAAAAGCTTAAGAATCTGCAGCATGTCAATCGGACTGAACATGCATGAAAGCCACTGCTAGTTCCATACTTTTGAGTAATTTCACAATTTAAACTCTATCTGTCTACCTTTATATCTATGATTTTAAAAAGCAAACAACAAATTCTATTTATCAAATGACTTTGAGCACCATGTGAGCTTCCTTTTGAAATTCCCTTATAACTTATAAGATTGAGTCAACCAAGTTTAAACTCCAAAAATTATATATCTGTACAGAGAATGTACTAATATAGTGCTATATATCATTGCATATATCCATACGTTTTGATCTCTATACATAATTTTTGTTGTCCATTGATTTATTATATTTTGCAACTTTTCCAAAAAGATACTAAAATCTGTCAATATATATTATATCCATAACATGACCATGTTTTGCGAATCCTGATATCCTATTATCCATATTTTATTCGTTGTTTAAAGTAAAACAATTGTAGAAATTGCAATGCCTCCATTACCTAGCGTGTTCTCATTAATCAGAGGTGATGAGACAGGTGCATTACTCACACAAATTGATTGCGTCTAGACTCAAAAGCTGGGTCTTCCAACTTGGAGCCGAAACTTTTACCACTGCATCAAGCAATGGAACCTAAAGAATTGTATTTCCCTGATACAAAAAAAAAATTCACCCAATTGCCCTATTTCACAAAATCAACAAACAATTCTGTCTTGGCATAATCCATGAATGAAAATGATGATGATAAATACTGTAATTCCAAAAAGAGATACAGGGCAACTGGTTTCCCTAGCTAGTGGATCTACTTATTATTATTATTTTTTTTCCCCGAAGAATCAACGCATTGGTAACTACTTTGGACTCTACAATGGTTTGCAAATTCCAAATGCATACAGTCGCTACTTTGGACTCTACAATGGTTTGCAAACTCCGAATGCATACAATCGCTCACAAACCACGAGCATCATTTAAGTTCAAATCTCACGTTTGGTGAGTCGAAGACAAGATGGGAGTGCCCAAAGACCTTACCAGTTGAGCTAGGCCATACCAAAAAATAAAAAATAAAAAAATGGTTTACTATGATTTCATTTTACTATGATTCTAACATGTGCATGAAAAAAGAATTGTTTAATAGCCAGCGTCATGACTGAGGAATACTAGTTAATATATTCATATAAATAACAAAATATACGCATAAATAATTTAATTCGGTCCAGAGAATAATGTTTTCACAGAATCATGGTTCCAATAAACGCATATCTTCATATTCTACAATAACTGAAAATATATATATATGCACACACGCAGAGAGAGAGAGAGAGAGAGAGAGAGAGAGAGAGAGACGTACAGAACCAGGGGTGAAGGAAGTGAAGACACTTGGGAATTCTACTTTTTGCATTAAAAGTCCTTTGTAAGTGTCACACGACAAATAGAGATTCTTCACCAAAACACCATTACAACCTTGTGGTACCTTCAAGCGTATAGTCTTATCTGTGCTTATATACATATCACTCTCTTTTGGGAACCCACTTATGTAGTCTTTCAATAACACCTGTTTGTTTCTCACTTCTTCTCCTTCCGCCATTGTTATGCCACTACCTAGCTAGTAACAAACTCTCTCTCTCTCGCTCCCTCTCACTATATATATATATATATATATATATAATCAGCTAATATGTATAAGTGTCATAGTCTGGACCAGAATTACTGCATTGTCATAGTCTAAACCAGAATTGCTAACTAGGAAAGTGAAAAAAAAAAAAAAAAAAAAACAAAAACCCAGAATTGCTCTATTGTCATAGTCTAGACAAGAATTGCTCTATTGTCATTGTTTGGACCAGAGTTGCTCTATTGTCATAGTCTGAACCAAAATTAATCACTATATGATAGTTGGTACTAAAAATTTAGTTGGTACTTTTAACCTTTTGCAGTGGTTCTAAAAATCTAGTTTTTTGAAATGAAAAGAGAATCTCTTTGGAGTTGGCAGATGTGGACCCAGCTGTCTGGGAGAGTATGTACTGAAATGAAAAAGAAACAGTCTTCAACGGTCATTACTCACAAGTTTGGTTCTCAAATTTTCTAGAACTCACCCCATGTGGGATGTACCATCTAGTTGTTTGCCGCATACTTCACTCATGTCATTTACAGTGTATTTGATTTATTGTATATACAGTACTTTGTTTGTAGAATGCAACATCATTATTTCTGGAACTCAATACTTTTTACTTGTAAGTAATGAGTATTGCACATTCGAAGTAACAAGTATTACAAACTCGAAGTGATAATATAATACTTTCAAAGTAATATTGCACTTTCGAAATAATAGACATATTCTTGCCTCTGAGAGTTGTGCTTTTTTTAAAATGATTCTGAAATTTTTCGTACTTTAATTATAAGTGATTTTTAAGTACTTGAAATTTTCCATACTCAATCTTCACTTTTATCAAACAGCACTATTCATACAACTGATCCCAAGCATAGACAAAGGAGGGTCAATTTAAGTAGTTTCATAGTTAACATAAATCTTTTGTCAGGAGGATTTTATGTGTCCGGGGAAGCAGGGGAAAGGATTAACTTGAAGTCTCTTTAAGGGTTTTGAAGGTCTCAAAACAGGCTTCCAAGTCTAAAATGTTCTTCCCCAAAAAGATGAATGTTTGGTGAATGATTTGATGCTGCACTTTAAGGAATAAAACTCAGTTTTATTAATCTAACCTCATGTATTATTTTGTATAGTCCACAAATACAGGTAAACAACATTTCTCATTCTTTATTTCTACAAAGTAGATAAAACAACCAGCAAATAGAGCAATACTACCTCCTTCACATCCAAAAAGGGATGATCAAAACAATGCAATTTGAGGAGGGCTACATTGTATTCATACATAAAACTCAAAGTGCATCAGTGGGAAAAGGATGTACACCAGAAGGTTTCATCATTCACGAGCGACTACAACTAATTGTTTTCCGATGTTGAGGCCACTATAAAGTCCTACAAGAGCTGCAGGGCCACTTTCAAGGCCTTCAGCAATGTCTTCCACATATGTTATCTTCCCTTCTCTAATAGAAGGCAAGACAATATTCAAGAACTGGGAATATTGGGGATAGTATTCGAAAACTCTAAATCCTTCCATACGCACTTTATTGTAGATGAGGCGCGTCAAGTTTTTTACTCCTTCTGGTTTATCAAGATTGTATTGTGACATCATTCCACAGACAGCAATCCTGCCGTGGTTCCTCATGTTGAGGAGCACTGCGTCCAACATCTTTCCCCCAACATTCTCAAAGTAAATGTCAATACCTTCAGGACAGTACCTGGCAATCAACAATATGCTACCTCGAATGTTACTGTCCTCTTATATACAGATGCAGCCACATCATTTAATAAAATAGAGCTAATCTTGAACTAGTGTCATATTATCACAGTGGTCTTCGTGGGGTTCCTTTAAATGTAATTTACAGGAAACTCTTTTAAGTATGAGATGTATTGCATTCTTACTCATTTGATTTCTCTTTTCCATCCGATGATTGAGATCAGAGGATATACTTTCTCCTGCCATAACAATATGAATGTGTAGTCAAAGCAAAAGGACAAGAGTGTTCGAGAGGAAAAAGCTGCAGCTAGTACTCTCTCTGAGACCAATGGAGTTCCAATTAATCTAGATTATTTATTCACTCGCCTTTTTTTATATACACAACTGTTGAACTATATAGCACAGTCTCTTCAATTTACTTCTTGTTCTCTTTTCTTTCTTGTTTCTTTTTTCTGCAGTAATTAATTGGTTTCTTGTTTTATGCATGCTTTAAACCAAAATCTCAGTTCTTTATTTTGATATGACAACTTTAAATTTTTGGGTAAATGATTTCCATGCACACACTTCAGCCTATATGGTATAATCAATCTCAGATTTGCAATCAGAGACATAAGCAATTCTTCAAATAATATAACCTATACAAATGAACACAAATTACTGAATTTGAAAATTTCGGTCGTCTTTCTTATTTTTTTTATTTTTACATTTTCAAACCAAAATTCACAATGTTATAGGTTTAAATTTACAGTTCTATGTTACTATCTACAAATTTTAATTTTTGAGTTTAACAATAACAATAAATGCTGGTGCCATACCATTCATCCTATATGGTTTAAAATCAATCTCAGATTTGCAGTTAGAGGCACATATATCCATGAACAAATCAAATATTTCATACAAATAACTTTTACCGTTAGCTTCATAGATCAAATTTCAAAAGAAAAGACATTTCAGCTAGGGTGAGTTGACGATATCATAAGGTGAGAATTCTGAGAACGGGAGGCCATTTAAGGAAGTGCAAGCCATCATCATCAGAGATGGCACATGATTACTTATTATTCACTATTAGCATTTTGAGAAAGGATGACAATCTTGTGTTTTATTTTATTATGCTGTTAAATGTCAGTCATAATGATGGATTTGAAAAGAGAGTTATATTTAAAACACAAAAAAGAATGTTTTAACTCACAAGCAATGCCCTTGAGTTTTAAAGCAATATTTTGGACTTCAATGTGCAAAATAAAAACACTGACCTTTTCAGAGCGGCATCCAAGTCGTGCTCTTCCTTGTAATTGAAAGCTTCATCAAAGCCAAGCTTGTTCTTCAACAGATCAACCTTATTCAAATTAAAATCAAAACTAAAATTTTAGCTACTGTTGAGGATTGAATTATCCAACTGCAACATTTTTGCCCAAAAGAAATAAAACAATTAATAGATCAAACTAGTTGAATTTTGTATATTCCATTCCTTTAGAATTTTGTCAAACTAGTTTCTATTATTTTATTAGAGTGATGTAGCAATTAATTGAAATTCATCGCATGAATCACTTGCTGCAAAGAGACAAGTTGGTAATTCTCCTAACTCCTTTATGCTGTCTCCCATCTCTCCAAATTTACTCTAGTCAATATTTGTGAATTGAATCTCAAATTCCATCATTTTAAATTATCAATTCAAACAAAACCTCAATATTTTCACTGAATGAGACAAGCTCGTGTTACAGCAAAATTTTTGGAGTCCATGAATAGTACAACCATGCAGTGGGAAGAGAAAAATAAAATTGTTCAATATCAGGATTATATGAGGTTTTGAAAATTTTCATTGAGAATTGTCAAAAATCGTTGGCAAAAACATTCACGTAAGAAATTGAATTAAAAAAATAGGAAAATAATAGAATAAAATAAAGGTCATAGTTTTGTAATTTGTCTCATATGTAATTAACTTTCAGTTCTTAATTTTGAATGACTATATAATACGCATGACAGGATGATGATACCCATAATTAAGGAAGATTGTCAATATGCAACTCAAGCATTACCTTGCAGATATCCCAAAAAACATCCACCAAGAAATGGCTAGTGAAAAAATGAAATGTTACAGAGATAAGACTCACCTTTTCTTTACTTCCAGCACTTCCAACAACATGGCACCCCATCAACTTTGCAAACTGCCCAACGAGCTGACCAACTGCACCAGATGCTGCAGAGACAAATACATATTCTCCTTTCTTAGGAGTACAAATTTCATAAAAACCAGCATAAGCAGTCATTCCGGGCATACCTAATAAGAAACAAATGCACAGAAATTAGATGAGGCATTAGAAATATTAATGACATAACCATGAGAAAGACATATCTAATTCTGATGCTCTATGATACACAGACAAATTTAAAATTAACGTAGTTATCTCTAGTAGTATGTTGTAACGGGCCAGGCGTTTCCCATTTAATAGAATAGCTAAAATTGTTTGGTAGTGCTGCATACCCACCCATATATGTCCAAGTCTATCCCCATTCGGATAGATATGGGACAAGCCTCCTCTAACATTTTCCCCCACCTGAACTTGCAACGTTGAGATTGTACCACCCAGACTATCCCCCTGCCCCAAAATAAATAAATAAATTCCCGTGTGGGTGCTAAGCGTGACACCATATCAAAGACTAGGTCTAGCTTGACCATACTTGGCCTCTAACCCAAAAGCTTAATTTGTTGGGTTGTGTTGCGCACCTGCCCGTATGTCCCCAAGTCTTTTTCCATTCGGAGATCCACTATGGGACAAGTCCCCTCTAACGGATGTCCGTTACTTTTCAAGTGGAACTTCAAATCCCCCATAAAGGGGTAATTGTTTGTGAATGCTTGTGACCTACTTACCAAATAAAAAAGGAATATTTATATTTAGTATTATTAATTTACCAGAAGTAAAATGAGGACTTCATTCATTTGAACACTGAAAACAGGGGAGGTCCACAAATAAGTAAAATGAGGACTTCAATCATTAGAACACTGAAAACAGGGGAGGTCCTCAAATAACATATCCTCCAACATAACTCTATTTGAGACTTCTAAAAGGGAGTTGCAACATGATCAACTTTTAAATTTCAAATGCCGGCAAAGCAACCGATGCTAACAATTCAACACATTAACTATGTCCTCTCCAAACTGGCACTTAAAACAAGATCTGATCAATATCAGCTATATCTGGGAAATCATCAACTAATCAGGATTCTCAACTTAAAATGAAAATTCCACATTCAATGGCCACTATAGCAAGAAATTCCAAGGCCTGTCATATAGGTATACACAATGGATTTAAATGAGACTTTATTTAGCATTGGGATTTAAACTTTAAGGACAAAAGGGTAGATACTTACCCAGAATTCCTGTATAGTATGAAAGAGGTACATCAGTATGTTCAATTTTGAACAAGTAATCTGTTGTCGTAATGAGACTGTACTCTTCCCATCCAGTCATCCCCCAAACCAAGTCACCCTTCTTGAAGTTCGGGTGCCCTGAATCCAAAACTTTTGCCACTCCTTGCCCAATTATCACCTGCATATTTTCACCATGAAACGTCATATGTACAAGCTTAAGAATCTGCAGCATGTCAATCAAAGCAAACGTGCATGCAAGCCACTGTTAGTTCAGAGTTCGAGTCATTTCACAATTTAAACTCTGTCTATCTACCTTTCTATCTGTGATTCTAAAAAGCAATGAACTTCCTATTGATATTTCCTTATAAGGTTGAGTCAATCAAATTTGAACTCCAAAAAGTTTTATTTTATGGGAAATTCGACTGAGACAGTACAGGAATATGATGCGCGAGGATCGTCCTGATAAATTAGACCTCACATAGACCTAGAGAGGGTGTGAATAGGACTTGTTGAAACATTTTAGCAATTTAAAATTCAATTACTGATTTATCTTCAATCTGGCTAAAATTTCTTTCGAAACAAACAAATCAATGGTTGCAAACATAAATAAACAAATCAGTAAAAGCAATATTAAAGCAGCAAAATGGTTAAAAAATCGTAGGACCTAGTCCAGTAAATCAATCCACTATGAAGAAAAAGATGTACAACCACTCGAACTCCTAGTTGAACTCTAGACACAGCAAACTCCAAATCTTTAGTACCCTCCAAGATCTATAGGTCATTAACTCCTCGGTCTACAGTGTTCAATGTCCTCGAACCCCTTCAGTGATTGATCTCAACCCCTAGTCAGTCCAAACACAAATTTGGTAGACTGCACACAACAGTGTTGAAGTAGTCTTTGATGATCATCTTCGAAATGTTTCAACATATACATCAACTCACTAATACCAGCATGTATGATGAAAGATGCTTATCTCACAAGAAAAACATTCAAAACTTTATGTATGATGCGAAGAATGTCAGGTTTTGATCTTGTGGAAAAACAAAGAAAGATATGAGAGGTTTTGAAAAATATGAATGGAAGAATAAAAACTCAATTCAGTGTAAAACATATTTTCGATTCAAAATTAGAACTTTGAATTAAGAATTACGAATATGAATGCATGAAATTTACCTTTTAACCTTAGTAGACGAAGTTGACGAATTTTTCTTTATTGAAGCTCATCTTTTCATGGAGGTAATTCCACAATTAGGGCAAGTCTATCTATCTATACATATATATTGACATGTTTTGTTCTACAAAATTTGTCAAGGGTAGTCTTACAGATCTAACAGTACTATCTGTACATACCATGTACAAAATATCCCAATCATTGCACATGTACACATGCATATTTCATGGTTCACAGGAAACCTATATAAAACCATGTTTGGCACGGAATCGGCCTCTTCAATTTAGAATTGAAAAAAATTAGTATAACTTTAAAACTAAACTTCTTTCGATTTCAAATTCAAAACACCGATTTAGTTCTTCCAAACATAACACAATAGAAATCTAATGTCTCCCTTCAAAAGACCATGTGTTTCTTGGATTATTGTTTAATAGTTAGCATCACGACTCATGAATCAAGAATAGTTTATATAATTAAAGGGCCTTTGGCCCAATGGTATAACCTCCCCATCTTCAAAGAAGAGGGGAGGGGTTCCAGCCTCGGCGTAGACAAAAAAATATGTGTTTACTTTACCATAAATAAAAAAAAAAAAAAAAAATAGTTTTTATATATTCATACAAATAACAAAATATAGCATCAATAAATCGCTCAACTTTCAATAAATACTCCAATTTCAATTATTATCAAGCTAACATATTAAAAACAATTCAAATTAAAAAAAAAAAAAAAATTCTAACAAGAATCGCGCATACTCTTAAATTTTCTAATTTAGAAAGATAAATAAAAAATAAAACTAACAAGTTTATTTGGATTAATTTCGCTATTTTTTGGTAGATCAACATGGTGATTAAAGACAATCTTAAAATTTTAGGTAGAGACTTTTTTTTAAGATTTTGACAAAATTTTAGAAATGTAGTATAAATAAATAAAAATGGGCCGGCTGGCCCCACACAGCCGTCTCCACGTCTATATACATATATATATATATATATATATATATATATATATATATATATGTATAGAGAGAGAGAGAGAGAGAGAGGGAGACGTACAGAACCAGTGGTGAGGGAAAAGAAGGCATTTGGCCCTGGGCCTTCGAATTTTTGCATTAGATGTCGCATGTAAGGATCGCATGACAAGTAAAGATTCTTCACCAAAACCCCATTAGAACCTTCTGGAAGCTTCAAGCATATGGTATTATCAGTGATTATACTCATATCAGACTCCTTTGGGGACCCACTTATGTACGCTTTCAATAACACCTGTTTGTTTCTCACTTCTTCTCCTTCCGCCATTGTTTCAATAACAAAAACTCTCTCTCTCTGTATATGTATAATCCGGTTTGTATATGAAACTGTGTGTATATGTATATACTATCCCCTGTAGGCTGTATGTGTAATTTGTCTGGACCAGAATTGCTATATTTATAGGTGAAAAACTCAGAGGACTATTATTATTTTATCCTTTCCTTCTTGTTGGTACTAATAATAATAAATAAATAATAAAAGAATGAGAGAATTTAATTGCATGAAATGACGAGAGAACCCCTCTGGGAGTTGGAATGTGGACGCGAGCTGTTTGGAAGAATATGTACTAAAATGTAAAAGAAACAATTCCTTGAATGGTCATCACTCTCGTCACTCACAAGTTGTTTGCTTGTGAGTGTTTTTTTGCGTCCAAACCGGCCACATAACTTTCACCGCCTAGTTGAAGGACTAAACCTTAAGAAGGTTTTTTTTTTTTTGGGTAAATAAATTTTAGGGTAAATTGGATTGACACCTTTTAAGGTTTCGGTCAATGTCACTTAGATATTGGACAACGACTCTTTTAACAATGACACTCGTGGTTTCAAATGTCATATTTACCCATGATTATTTAATTTAATTAATTTACAAAATATCAGTCATGTTAATTGACAAAACTATTCTCATTATTTAGTCTCTTTCTCTACCTTAATCTTTAACTCTTTTTTTTTTTTTTTTGATTCATCTTAGTACCTAGCCGTTAACACTCTCTCTTTTTTCTCCCGGTCTCGAACATGGCTATTTTTTTTTTTTTGGTGGGTCTGGGCTGGCCATGGCTGTTTTTAAAGTTTTTTTTGGTGGTTGTGATGGTTATGGTGGTTTCTAGGTTATTAGGGCGTTTCAAAATTTTTATTTTTATTTTTTCGATGGTGGTTCTAGTAGCGTCTCTGTGTGTTGCTGGTGTTATCTTGGTGGGGTGGGGGTTTTGGTGGCGTTTGAGACGTATAAGTATGAGTTAGCCATGACTATTTTCAATTTTTTTTTTCTATTGTGGTGTTTGGGTGTGGTGGTGGTGGTGGTGTGCAATTTTTGGCTATTTAAAAAAAAATTATTTATTTTTTTTATTTTTATTTTTTTTATGTTGTGGTGGTGGTTATAATAGTATAAGTATTATTTTATTATATTAACAATATCTATGCGTATAGAAGAGATAAAGAGGTTAGTTTTATTTTTTATTTTTATGTTGGGGTGGTGGTTATAGTAGTATAAGTATTATTTTATATAAACTATATCTATACGTATAGAAGAAATAAAGAGGTTTGTTTGTTTCATTAAATTTAGTTAGTAGGTTAAATTTGTAATTTCATTATTTAAATTGAGTTGTTGACAAGTCAAATGGTTAAAAGGTAATTTCACATGGTATCAGAGGTCTAGAAGGGTGTCAATGCACATTTTTAAAACCTCAGGGGGTGTTAGTACAATTTATCCTAAATTTTATTAGCAAAAGAAGGAAAAAGAACAAAGGGGCAAAAGCCCAAACAGCCCAAAGGCTACAACCCACAAGGGAAAACAACCCAGCCCAACCCAGCAACGAGGGGAATAAAGAAGTGACCTCGTGAGACGTGAGATGTGAGAAAACAGAGGAACAAAAGGGTGGCTATTTATGTAAATGGGCCCCCAAACAAAGACCAAAAAATTATGGGTCTTAAAAAAAGGAATTTTTACTAATACATGGGCTTAAGGCTAAAATACTACAATATAATGAGGTCAAAGTCTTGATTTATCAAGAAAATAGGGGGACCACACAAACTTTTTCTTAAAGATGGAAGGAACACACAATTATTTCTATAAAATGGACTTAAATTCTACTTGGGACTACACAACAATCTATTTTACTATAATGACCCAAACTATATTTTATTATAACATACAAGCCTTAAAACATGTAATAAGCTTACAGAAAAATCCTTGAACAAACTTTTTGATATTTTTCTTACTAAATTAAAATTTAACCGTAAATTATTATTGACTTTTAGACTTCTTTAGACAAAAGATCTTATATATAAATTAAATTTAACGAACAGTATAGGATCTGATACCAAAATTAAGTTCAATCTAACCGGATAAAAGCATGCAAATAACATAGAGATAAGATTAACAATTAAATCACAGAAATGACTGCCGAACCTAATAACGCTTTGATAACACCCTGCAATAATACCTGAATACCGGCAAGACTGGGCCAACAAGCCAACAGTTCGAGTCAACTCACAAAAGAAATTGTTAAATTAAAAAAAAAACGCTGCTTGTACTGGTTGGATTCAAGAAAATTCTAGGATCTACACTGTCTGGTTAAATAAAATCTATATATTGGATCTTTTGTCAACCGAAGTCTTTTGCCCGCAAGTACTTAAAATACTAAATAGGGATAAGAAAGTTTTGAATAAGAGCAAATTGAATGATTTATTTCATAAGAAATATATACATGGATACACACTGTTTATACATGGATATATTCTCACACAATATTTTACAAAAAGAGAACACTCTAAAAAAAAACACACTAGGACACTATAGTTAGAGACTGGAATGCTTGATGGCTTTTAACTTTTTTGCTCTAAAACTCGATGATCTTTGCTTGAGCAAAGAGACTCCTTTTATAGAAAAGGTAAGAGATGAATCTTCGGTTGAGATTGCAGATGCTGCATAAACGGTTGAGATGAAAGATGTTTTAGAGATAAGATGGCTTGAAGTATTGCTGAACTATT